AGATAGGTCGAGGGGTACTTGAACAATATTCACAAAGGTAGGTGATCGTGACTTGTTAGGTCCTGTTGATTGTAGAATCAAACTGTAGTATAATCAAACTATAATATTGAAAGCTGAAGAGCTAGTCTCTTCATCTCTAGGCTCATAATTATGAGTATGGTCTTATATAGAATTATGCTTTGCTGGATCATTAGAGTCCTTCATAATCTATAGGTGGTGGCTCACTGTGGCTCACCATGATCTATAATCTATGGCTTATAGATAGCCTTTATCTTATCTTCATATAATGTCTTTTTCTGTCTCTTATGCCTGCCGTAGGGTTCCTGGCGGCGGCCTGCTTTCTGGCTATAACATAATGTCCCTCCTTTAAGGTCGATGTCCTAGAGACCTAGTTAAATACCTAGGTGCCGCCTATCCGGTAGGTCCTGAAACTATATCCCTTACTTCTCCTAGGATACTGACACTATGTTGGGTCATATAGAGAAATCAAAACCAAAATCAAAGAAATCTTTAGCCTAGCTTGCCCTTACTGTCGACGTCGAACTTTCTAAGGATCTGACCGAAATACCCTATACTTATTATTTTAAGTAGAACCTTGCTTACCATATGGTAAGCAACTCCTTTTATTGTTTTGAGTATATTTGTTTAGGTCGCTCTTATGATGGTACCTTTATAGCCTCTACCCTTATATGATTGGCCTCTCAACAAAAGAAAATTAAATAAGAGGAAATAGACGCTAAAGAGGCACTCTTTGCTTTTCAAATATAATTGTCTATAACTGTCAGCCATCTAGCCTGTCTATGTTGTATAAAGAAGGTAGTATCTAAGAAGTATTCTAAGGCTTTTTGAAGAAGGATATAGAAGTTAGACGAAGAGGATAGAATAACTCCTTCTATCTTTACTTAAGAGTAGTTTATGGTAGATAACCTTCATTCATTAAGTGTCCCAAACGATATAGACTAGTCTTCTTTAAGCTTAGATAGTGAGTTTGCTTTCGTAGGTTCGTTAGTGGAAGATTCTGGTAGAACTAAGTAACCAAATTGGAGTAATTCTGTAGGTGCTTAAAAGGTTCTTATATATTTTCCGAATCGTCATAACCTTACCATTTGACTAAGTACTATGTTTGTCGTCCTTTCTTTCGTAAGTCTAATATTCTTTCTACTTTATATTCTTAGTCTAGTTCTACTTTAACGTCTATTTGAAGTTTCACAGATTCGTATGCTGGTTCCAAAAGTAAAATATAAAAAATAGAGTATATTCTCATAGTTTTAGATAATGAGAGTTTATAGTTGGATTTTAATATTTTCTGTTTGATTTTGAATAGTCTAAGTTTTTTATGATCTAATTTATTGTTTGATCGTTTTGTTTTTATGTTTTGTCATATAAGGTAGACTTTATCTTCCTTCTTAAAGGATGGTCCCTTCATCTTTTGAAGGTTATAGTACTTTGACATTCGTTCTCTAATGAATGTTAGTTGGTTCCTCATTTCTTGGTGGAGTTGTTGAAGTTGTTTTACTATGAGTGTTGCTTTTTCTGATTCTGGTCCTATCTTGATTGGGTAGCTAAGTTCTAGGTTAAATCTATAGTTTATATAGAATGGTGATATTCTTATTGATTTGCTAATCGATATATTGTAACTGAATTAGGCTACTGATAGTAATATAACCTAATTGTTCTGCTTATAATTGATATAGCATCGAAGATACTATTTGATAATTTGATTTAGTCTTTTCGTTTGTCTATCTATCCTAGGGTGCTAAACTGTAGATAGCTTATAGTTGGTTTCCAATTATACTATAAGTGATTGTCAGAATTTCAATATGAATAGCTTATCTTGATCCGAAATTATTTCTTTTGATAGTCTATGATTGGCTATAACTATCCGTAAGAATATATATGCTAGTTCTTTAATATTGCTTTCTTCCTTATATAGAATAAAGTATATATATTTTGTAAGTCTATCGACAATTATAAAGATACTATTGTACTTGACTTTTGTCAATGGTTCTTCCGATAGTGGAAGCTTTACTATAAAGTCTTATGAGATTGATTCCCATAATTGTTATATGATTGGTAGGGGTTATAATTCTTTATATGGTTTATACCTACTGTTCTTATTTTGTTTGTAGATACTATACTTATCTAATACTTCTTTGACTTTGTTTTTTATATAAAGAAAGTTATATTTTCTTTATATTTGTTTAAGAGTTTTCGTTACTCTTATATGTTCAAATTCTATTGGTTTATAGTATACTTTGATGAGTTCTTCCTACAGTTCTGGTGGTATGTATGTTTTTCCTTCGTACTTATATCGTTCTTATTCTGTTTTGCTGGTTTGTACTAGCCTTAAGGGAACTTGTATATTATGCTTATATTTTAGTAGCTTATATGCTTCTTTGAGTTTCTTTCTCTAAGTATCGTCTGATTCTATCTTTAAGAGTATGTTAATTTATCTTTCTGCCTATATTAAGGTTTTATCTAGATTTATCATTAAGATAGCTTATATCTCTTTTGGTATCTTCTGATAATAGTTTATTCGTCGACTCAAAGTGTCTACTCTGCCGTTTTCTGATCCTTTTTAATAGATAATCTAAAAGTTGAATTCTGATAGTTCTTCTATCTATCTTGTTTGTCTTTTATTAAGTTCTTTCGTAGTTATAAAGTAGGTAAGGTTCTTATAGTCAGTATAGACGAATACTTTATAAGAAGTTCTAGATAGATACTATCTTTATTTTCTAAATGCTTTAATTATAGCTATCAACTCTTTATTATAAATCTAGTAATTTAGCTTTAGGCTATATAGTTTTTTCGAGAAGAATGTTATAGAGTATAGTCGATATTTATTATTTTTTTATCCTAACTATCCTTCAAATATAAAGTCTGAGGCGTTTATCTTTACTTTATATTGTCTTATAAGGTTAGGGTTTTATAGGATTGGTTTAGATAATACTTGTCGCTTTAAAGTGTCGAACGCGATTTATACCCTATCGTCCTATATGAAGGCTTTATCCTTCTTGGTAAGGTCTATAAGTGGTATGACGATTTTGCCATAGTCTTTGATAAACTTTTGATAAAAGTTGAAGAATCTTAGAAATCTTCTAACTTCTTTGACTATGGTTGGTTCAGGCCATTCCCGGATGGCTTAGATTTTGCTTTCTTATATACTGATTCGTCCTAGTTCTATCATATAATCGAGGAAATCGACCTTTATAGTGTAAAATATACTTTTTTCAGGGTTTACCAATAGGTTAGCCTCTTATAGCTTTAACAGTATTTGGTATATATATGTTTGATGCTGCTTAAGCGTCCTTAAGTATATTAAGATGTCGTCTAAGTAGACAATAATAAAGATATTCAAAAATTCTCGTAAGATATAATTTATTATAGCTTGAAAACTGGCTGGTATGTTAGTCAATCTAAAAGGTATAACTAAGTACTTATAGTGTCTATATCGTATATAGAATGCTGTTTTCCATTCGTCTCCTTCCTTGACTCTGATTAGATTATATACTCTTAGAAGGTTTAATGCTATAAA